TACTTGGACTGTTAAGGACTTCCTAAATATAATCATAAAGTAGGTTTTCTCCTTCCAGCAGAATCTTTTGTGTTCAAACAACTAGCTTTAAGTATCAGAAAAATGAACCATCTGTAGGAAATTCAAATTCCAGATTCACACTGCTAGTAGAGCATCTATAGATGGGAAAATAAGGAGTATTCTTGTTCATAACACAATTAGTCTGTACCATCCCAGCTGTCAGCTGATTCAATTTATGATCAAAGAGAGGTGTATACGTAAAACTATTTATTTGGCTGGGGGTGGTGGCTCATGCTTGTAATCCCAACACTTGGGAGGCTGAGGCAGGAGGATTCCTATGAATTTGAGATCAGCCTGAACTACATAGCCAGATCCTATCTCAAAAAAATAAACAAACAAATCCATTAATTCTGTATAAAGCATCAGAATTAAGTGCACAGATGGGAAAAAAAACACACAAACCTCACCAGATCCCCCAAAATTTTTAAAAAGTATATTGATATACAATGGATAACACTGGAATAAAGGTGCTTTGTAGTTACACACCTAACTCTATTCTGTGGTTTAGAACCAGGATGCGCTCAGAGGCAGTAACTTCAGAAGGTGATTGGCTCATGGAGGTGCTATCCTCATCAGGAGAGTTTGCCGCTAAATTTGCTGTTAAGAAGTAGGGGCTCATCAGAAGAGGTAAATCTCTGGGGATGCGACCTGGAAGGGTGCATCTCCCTCCCTGACTCATTTTGTCATTCTCTGCTTCCTGGCTGCCATAAGGTGAGCAACTTTACTCCGCCAAACCCTTCTACCATGCCCTCCTGTCTTGGAGCCAGTCAACTATGGTCTAAAATGAGAGCCAAAATAAATCTCTCCTTTACGTTGTGAAGGCCAAGCATTTCATCTCAGCAATGATTAAGACACTCTATAGGCAATAAAATTACTTCCAGATTTATACTACACTAAAACCACAATGAGACACCACTACACATCTACTAGAATAACTATATTAAAAACATAACGACAATACCAAACATAGGAGAGTTACTTCCTGAAAAAGAAACTGATCTCTCATGCACTGTTGGTAAGTATGTAAAATGGTATAACATTGTGAAAAATACTTTGGCAATTTTTTCATGAACTAAACATATACCATATAGCAATAATGTTCCTGGGCATTTGTCCCAGAAAAAAAAAATTATATCCCTGCAAAAAACTGTACCAGAATATTCACTGGCAGCTTTATCTATAATAGCCAAAAACTGGAAACAGTTCTGATGCCTTGGTGAATAGCTGGGATAGTATGTACTACAGAATACTAGTTAACAATTAAAAAGAATGAACTACTGATATCTATAGTAGTTTGGACAAATCTCAAGAATTGTCACATTCAACAATTTGCATGAATCCCAAATGGAAAATATTGCATACTATATGGCTCCATTTATGTAGCATTCCTATGACAAAATCATAGAGAGAAAGAACTGAGTAGTGATAACCAGAAGTTAGAAATGGTAGCAGGAAGGTAGGCCTCTGCAACATGAGGAGGATCTTTGTGGTAATGGAATAGTACTCTTCCTTCATGGCAGCAATGGCTACAAAAAAAATCCACACAGGTAAAACAGCACAGGATAGCACAGAATTGCATAATGTCAATTTCTTGGTTTTGATATTGTACTTATAGTTGTGTAAGATGTGCCTATTAAAGGAAGCTGGGTAGAGACATAGAAAATGTAACCACTGGGGGAAACCAGACCTCTATACTATTTTTGAAACTTCCTGTGAATCTATATCAAACTAAAAATAAAAAATAAATAGCAAGACCCAGGCGTGGTGGGGCATGCCTGTAATCCCAGCACTGGGGAGGTAAGGAAGAAGGATCACCTCAAGTTCAAGGATGGTCTGGACTACATAGTGAGTTTAAGAATAGCTCAACCACATATTGACACCCTGTCCCCAAAAAATAAAATAAAACAAAAAAGTAAAATTTGTGCCATGGGTTGAATATGGTTTGAATTGTCCTCTAAGGGTTCCTGTGTTACAATTTAATCCTCACTGACTAAAGAAGTAGCCATTTAATCTTACGACGAGGTTTAGAGGTAGGGCCCTGGGAGGTTATTAGGATTAGATAATGTTATCAGAAGGGAGAAAAATGATTGAATACTGGTGGCTTTAAAGACAGACCAGAGAATACACACACACACACACAAGAATGTGTACACAAGTTTCCACTTCCCATCTCTGGTCACGTGATGCACTGCCTAAGAACCAGACATGCCTTTCAGACTTAGACCTCCAGACTTTTGAGCTAAAGTAAGCTTCTTCACATTAAAACATACCCAACCTGTGCTCCTATGCTGCGATTAGCAGCAAAAAATAGACTAAAACTGAAACACAAATAAAAATGAGTAAGGAAATGAACAAGCAATTTCAAAACAAGAAAAAAAAACCAAGAAGTAAAAGACATGAGAAAATGCTCAAATTCATTAGTAATAGTGAAATGTAATTTAAAACGAGATTTCATTTTGTATCAATTACACTGTAAAAACGAGTGCACTGAGTGGCCAGGGATTTAGCTCAGTGGTGCTGCTGCCTGCCTTGCAAGCGCAAGGTCCTGAGTTTGAACCCGGAGAGGAAAAAAAAAATCACAAATGCAGCACTTGGGAGGCTGAGGCAGGCGAATGATGAAAGTTCAAGGCTAGCCTGGACTGAATAGAGACCTTGTCTCTACATAGATAGGTAGATAAATAGGAAGGCAGACAGAGGAAAGGAAGGCATCACAATGGTGGATATAGGTCTCAGAGAAATTATTAGAAGTCTAAAAGGTATGTTTATCTAGAGTGCTAGGAAAATAAAGATGTGTGTGACTACAAAGAATAGGTAAATAAACTGAAATACTATGCAGCACTAGAAACAATGGACATGCAAAAAATATACCAGGAAAAGAAAGAAAGTAAATTGCTATATAGTACATCATCATATAGTACATCATCATCTCTGTAAATTAAAAATGTGGGTATCCAAAACAATGCACATTAAATAACACAAATAGGATATACATCACAAACACACATACACACACACACACACACACACACACATACATACACACACCAGAATACTTGTCACTGGGATGATAAGAGATCAGAGAAGGATTTGGAAACAAAAGGCAATGAAGAAAACAAAAAGCAAACGAGAGACCTTGAAGAGCCCAATGTTGATCAGTGACTTGAATATAACTCAATTCTACATACCTGAGGTCCAAAAAAACTGAAAGACTTACTGCTAATGGCACACCCTAAAGCTAAATGTCTTCTCACCCTTATCACAATATAGGTGCAAAATAATGGTTAGACACAAGGTTCACTCCTCCAAAATTTAATTTTACAGTTACACTCAAGGTAAAAACCAGCCAGACATGGTGGCACACACCTGTAATACCAGTACTCAGGGGCTGAAGCAGGAGGATCCCCTCAAGTCTGAGCCGGCAGGGGCTACACAGCGAGTTCAAGGCCAGCATGAACTATATAGAGAGACCCTTTCTCATAAAATAAATTAGGATGAATTTTTAAAAATTAAGATGAAAATTAAAAAATAAAATTTAGCAAAAGTGGCAATAAGAAAAAATAAAATCTATCTTAGTTTTCCGGTTAAGTGGGGTTTGAGAATTTTAAAGAGACATTTAAAGCCAGGAATGTTACTACATGCCAGAAATTCCAGCACTCAGGAGGCTGAGGCAGGAGGATCCCTGCAAGTTTGAGGCCAGCCTGAGTTATATAGTAAGTTCAAGACCAGTCTGGAATACATAATAAGAACTTGTCTCAAACTTCATCACCACCTCAATAAAAGAGACATTTAAAGAAATGAATTTTTCTACTCTAATTTTCAATTAACAATGAGGCATTTACTATTTGCACATAGTGGTTCACTTTCCAACTTAAAGTAACTAAAATCTACTGTCTGGATAAAATCAAGGCAATTTTTCTTTCTTTACAATAACAAAGACATTTCCAACACATCAGTTTTTGAGTTGCCGTACACGTCCTCACTGTCATAAGTTTGCTTATATAGCTCAATAGTAGGTCCAAATTAGAATTTTTATGTAACAAAATGTCAAAAACTCAGTCAACTTCTTTCATACAACAAATGATTATTTCAATCTTGTCCATAAAACTCTAAGAACACACTGTAAAGAGTTACAGTTTGCCTTTTTGGTCCCATGACAAATGTTTCAAGGAAAGGAATGTATAGCTGCCTCTGACTAAACCCTAAAATCAGCAGCATGAAGATAACTATACAGTCTGTGATGCAACTGAGGCTGACATCGTTTCAGAATACAAGAAACAGCAATTTCTGCATAGGACCTGAAAAACAGACAAAGTCAGTGGGTCAAAAATATATAATATAATGTTTTAATTAAAGACAGCTAGTGTGGACTCCAAACATACCCTCCAAACGCTGGGACCCATTGGTAAGTGAAATAGCAGGTATTCTCTCAGACCAAGTCCTAGGCAAAATGAGAATAGGTCTAACAGACATCTCAGTAGCTTAGGTAAGGACAAACTAAAGAGTAGAACCAACAGGTAAGGGCAGGCTATGTGTACCCCAAAAGCAAGCACATTCCCCAAAAGCACTGTCAGTAAACCACAGAATCACTGCTGATCACCTCATCCCCATCTCACGATTATCCGTGAGGACAAGATAGCCTCGCCTCAAGACCAAAGACACGGTAGAAGCAAAATGTCATTCATCAAACAAGGGGACCTAAAGACCCCCTGGGAGTGAGTGGAAAGATCTCACTCCCTTGATAAAGGCGCCCTGCAGTGGGCCTGACCTGCAGAAGTATCAGATAGCTTCCAGCAGAAGCAGCGACCTCGCTGACCTGACTGTCAGCTGGAGGCGCTCAGGACAGGGTTGGGTGTGTGACCCTTGAAACCTCGACCCCAGCCTCAAGGTGCGGCCCAACGCGAGCCGAGGTTTCCCCAGGAGAAGCTCGAAAGCTCTCTCACCTGTCACAGCTTCATCTCTTGCCGCGACGTGGTCTATCAGATCAGCCGTGGGCGTCCCAGCAGAGGAAGACGAGGTGAGGGCGTATCTAAGGAGGGAGTGTGGCTGCGCAAATCCGGGTGGGGAACCCTTGGGGATCGCAAACCTTGCCTGGCCGCCCTCTGTCCACCGTGGTAGGAAGCTGCCACTGCCGCCGCCACTGCCGCAGTAAATCAGCTGACTCCAGCTTCAACTGCTGCGACTTTCGCCCAACTGTCGCAAAAAAATGAGCCACCTGACACCGAGGACACAGAACCAGATATGAGAACGTGGGCACACGGGAGAGGCGGAGCGGCCCACAGGCTGACTGCTGGGCAGGGAAGGGGCTGCCCGCACGTCCCGTTCAAGTCTGACCTCTGTCCCTGGGAGGAGGAGGAGGAGGCGGGAAGTGCTCACCATTTCCGGACACTCAGTGCTTCAGTGGGCGAGCAGGCGCCGGCCGTGTTACCGGGGAGACCGAACGGTGGAGAAGGGGCCAACTGTGGGCAAGGCGTGTGCGTCCGCCATCATTGTTGTGGGAATTCTTGGTTCTTGCCTCGTCTCCTATTCACGTGATGGGAGGACCAAAATCGAGAAAATGATGAAACGGCAAGTCTAGGTCATCCCTGGGGCAGGATGTTGAAAGTTTATGTGCCTCAGAACTTAGCTGTTGCCCACGACTGAGGGCCAGAGAAAAGAACTCTCCTCTGCGGCTAGAGGAAGCCTGACTTTGTGAAATACTCCTGTAGAGAAGGATTAATAAACGTCCTCTCTGTGGTGGAGCATGAGGCGAGTATTCAGATCTCACTTTCTCCACTACACAGAGTCCTATTGGGCATAATGCTTCCTTTTCTTCATTCTCAGTTTCCCCATTTACAAAATAGAGATGTAACCTTGTGGATATCTGGGAAAGTAAAAGAGCTCAATGATTGTTCATGATTTGTTATGCTTGTCCATCTTCTTCTCCAGTATTGATTGGGTGAATGAATGGCAACCAAGCAGAAAACTGGTGCTTTGCTCGTGGCTAGTGGTTAGTAAAATGACACAAATGATATGCATTCCATGCCCTTTTTTCTTTTCTGTTATAGGCTTTCTAGTGAATAGGTATGAATTCTATTGCAGCTTTTCAAAGTTACTGTGTGTACCAGTCACCTGGGGATCTTGTTATACTGTAGGCTTCTGATGTAATAGTTCTAGGGTGGGTTCTGAAATTCTCCATTTCTGACCAGCTCACTCAAGTAATGGCCTTTGCTGATCCTGGGAACTTTTTTTTTTTTTTTTTTAAACAGGGCCTCATCCAACTCTCAGTGATCCTGCTGCAATGAGGGTTACCAGGACAGGGTAGAATCAACACCTTCAGTCAGGCTAGTTTTATCACTAATTTGCCAAAAGGGTACTGAATGTTGGTTTGCTCAAAAGGCTTCCTGTCCACAGTTTATTTCTGCTAAAGGCAAACCTCTCTTCCCTTTACAGATTAAACATCTCCCCAGAAACATTAGAGACCCATTGTGTCAGGTGGCCTACCTCTTCTCCTTCATTAGGCCATTTAGTGACCATCTAATGTACGTACTTTTGCTCTCAGGTGTTGGTTCTTTTTTTTTTTTTTTAAAGTACCAGGGATTGAACTCCTTGCGCTTGCAAGGCAGGCCACCAAACCACTGAGCTAAATCCCCAGCCCCAGGTGTTGTTCCTTATATGCTGTTTCTTTTTGTTTGAGGAAACCAGCTCTGTTGCCACTAAAGTGATCAAAACTGAACCATAATATTGACCAGAAAATTCAATCGAACACTTGACAATCAGTAATTCTCATGTTTTTTCCTATTGCAAATTAGAATCATGATTTTCTTCTACTTTTGACTAACTGCCTTGCAATCACATGAGTGAAGGGGAAAAATAATAACCCGTCAGCCACCTGGCTTCCTTCCATTGCACTGATGAACACATTTATACCATTAAGTTCATATTCCCCTTAGAGCCAGGGATTTATCTCAGTGACAGTGCCTACCTGGTAACCACAAGGTCCTGAGTTCAATCCCCAGAACCAGGTTAAAAAAGAGAAAGAGAGAGTGAGGTAATCCCCTTTGTAATTTATATGAATTTTTTGGAAAAGCAGGATTTATAGAGTGCTTACCACAGGATAAACTTCAGACTACGTTAAAACATTTGCTTTGTTAAGGAAAACTGTAGGATAAAGATGTATATGAAGATTCTTATACAACAAATATTAGTTGAATATTTATGATTTCAAATACCTCTTCAGAATGCAAAGCTTGACTGATTAATGAAGAGCTTTGAGAGAACATTTCTCTCTATCAAATTTATATAAACATATTACTGCCAGGTGTGGTGGTGCACACTTGTAATCCCAGCACTCAGGAAGTTGAGGTAAGAGTATTTTCATAAAGTCAAGGCCAACCTGGACTACATAGTGAGTTCAAAAGCCTGTCTCAAAAAACAAAGCAACAACAACAACAAATATTACCAAAGTCTGTGTGCATGTGAAATCTCCAGAGTCAGAGAGCTAAAATAAATGTTCAAATATTACTGAAACATTTCTAGTTCATACAAATTCACACCTTTTTACATACACATACACACTATACCATATATAACCTTCCTGAAAAATGAGTTGTATCTCCAGTAGACTGATTTGAGTAAATATATTTGAAAAAATAATTTATTCTTACTGAGTGTGGTGGTGCATGCTTGTAATCTCAACACTTGGGAGGCTGAGGCAGGAGGATCACCATAGTAAGTTTGAGGCCACCCTGAACTACATTATGAGACCCTGAATAAAAAAAACAAATTACTCCTGTCGAGGATTTGCCACCCACCTTGCAAGTGCAAGGGCCTGAGTTCAATCCCCAGTACCAAAAAAGAAAAAAAAATTCTTTTCATCTAGAGGATTATACAAAAAAATCTTAAAATTTAAACAATAAAAATTATACTTCAGCATCTCTCTCTCTCTCTCTCTCTATATATATATATATACATATGTATATATAT